TTCCTTAGCATGTTCAAGTTCCTTCAACACAAGGATGTACGCTTTAGATGGTACTAGATGAAGGAATAGCAACATTCAGACTAGGTTACTGAAAGGAACTGAGAAGTACTGAGGGAAATTTAAGTTTCAATTACATGTAAGAAACCGTACAACTTTAAGTGATAGCATAAAAGATAACATGATATCAAAAATAAACCACAGTGAACAACTAAGCAATGCAGAGACATAACAAAACTGATCAACTTACTTCCAATACTACAACACCACAACCTTCACCGATTCTGCAGACAAAACAAGTCAATTCAATTAAGAAGCAACATAGATACCAATAGAATAAAGATATTCTTAAAGTTTTACACTTTTATGCCAATTTATTTGCAATAACACCTCAAAGAAGCTGCAAGCATCATCTTACACAAAACCATCACGTTCAACATCAAAAGGTCGAGAAGCTTCACAAGGGGAAGTATTGTACTTTGTGGACAAAGCTTTCAACCTGCAGGTTACAAGAATTTACTCACTTTTTATTTTGAACAATTTTTATTACTTTAGCTGCACACATTATTTCAAGTGAATGAAATGTAGATAAGGATGTCAGGGATGGAAATATATAAGACACATTATGGAATTAACGATACCTTTTAGGATAACAGGCCATTAGAAGCAGGAAATGAAAAGAGTTCAATGAAATGGAAAACATTTATACCCCTATATGACTTAAGCAGGAAAGGCTAACTAAACATAGCAACTGAAAGCAATAAAAGAATCACTGTAGCATTTAGCCTATAATTATATAATTAATGTATAACCATCATATGATGGTTCAAGATCAACAACGGCATCAACCTTAATAACAAGAAGCTCAATGATTTGTTCCTCAATTAACTTTCAGAATTTAGTCTGACATCATTTTTACAAATAAAAACTTTTATCTTTGAGGAAGACCGGGAGGGGGGAACTTCTTCCTGAATTTTAGACTTTTGAACCAACAATGCTTCTCATGTAAGAGTGATACCTGCAAAAACCTGCAATGGATAAGGCATCTATGCTGGCCTCTGTTCCTCCAGCCACCATGACATCTGCATCTCCAAATAGAATCATACGAGCAGCATCTCCAATGGAATGCGCCCCAGTTGCGCAAGCTGTCACTGCAGCATGGTTTGGTCCCTAGATTCAAAAATAAGACTATGCATGCATATACGCTTTCAATATTCCAACAGTGAACAAACATGTTGATATGGGATAAAATCAAATGAGAGAATCATCACTTTAAGTACATTAACCCATCAGATTCAACATTCCAACACTGACCCCAGCCGGTAATCAATATCACAGTCTAATTGCCAATCTTCATCACTCTCAATGGCTAAGATGAGCTTGAGGGGTGATGATTCTAGGTCCAGTGAGAATTGTTAGTAGTGCTTTCATGGTTAAGAGCTAGAATATTCAGATCTCCCTGCACATTTTTATACAGAGGTTTAAGGCTCCTCATAAGGCATGCTTTTTTGACTGGGAAGTGATTAAGGGAAGGTTCTTACCAACCAATGACATTCAAAATTTTCAAAATAAATCTCACCTCAGAGATTAGGTGCAACCTCAGGAAGAGGAAGAACCAGGAGAACACCTCTTACTTTCTCCCACGGGTTCTCTACGGCTCTTGCTTAAGCTTTTCATTTCAATTGACCCAGATTATAAATGTTTTGATAGTATGAAAACAAGGCTAATGCATATGTCAGTGTTACCTAATACTCTACCTCCACCTCCACCCCAACCCAAACCGCATACCACATATAGAAAAAGGTCAATTATAACACAAAAGTGGTAATTTTTGGCCCAATGTAACAAATTAGGTAGCGAAAAGCATATCGTAATGAAAGCTATCATTTAACAGTTAACTATGATATAATGATAAAAATTATGAATAAAGTTAACATGATGTGGTTAACTATTTTGAACTGAAAGGAGTATCTTATTGGGGACGTACATTGGAAACATGGATGTAGCAAGCAATGGCATTGCTTTTATAAAATCTAATGTTACTTCATTAGATCTAAATCTATGTAAAATATATACAATTTAGATCTGTGAAATTCTACAAAACATACAATTTCAAAAAGCTACACTTAAGCTAAGAAAAAGCGCCAAATCAATACGGTAACAACAATCATCATATACAATTCTGCATAAATGAAGCACAAAGTTGATTACACAAATTCATAGGCAGCATGTTCAAGGTTCACCAGAGCCAAAGGAAAGTTCAGAAGATACAGAGAAAACATATAGATCCAAAATAAAAAGAAATTTTTAAATGCAAGAATACCTGGAATCCATACTTCATGCTCACATGACCTGAAGCCATATTGATTAATATCCTAGGAACAAAGAATGGACTGAGACGTCGAAGACGCTGCAAACAATGTACAAACTTTTAGTGTCAACCTCTGATTTCCCTTTTTTTCCTTCAGATAGTAGTTAATTTCTAGCTTAAACAAAAATAATATGTGAAACTTCCGGCAGACTAGGGTATATAGTGAGATTTTTTAAAAAATAGGGTAATATATCACTTTAAAACAACAAACCAAAAATATCATGCTGATTAGAGTAGATAGAAATTATATTTTGGTTCTAAAATGCTGATCAACTTTTTGCCTTTGGCCCACTACCTCTGGCAGGAAAAATTATCCTACTTGTATGCTTTTCTATAGATCACTTGGAACATTTTTGTGTTGATAAGGAAAAAAATCGTTGAAATATAGTATCTTCTGCAAAGAACCAAATATCTACCTTTTCACAAATCAGCTGAGCAGCATCAACAATATCATTCATGCTACCAATACCACCACCAATGGATACTCCCTGTTGCCTTCTCATTAGCAAACAATATAGCCCAAATTCTTAACTAAGATTACAAACGCATTTATTTTTGCCACCTGAAGAGCAAAAGAATCCTTACAGTTCTTTCTTTCTCATCCTGCTTCGTCGGAATCCAATTTGCATCTTTAAGGGCCTCATCTGCAGCACATAGTGCATATCCTATAAACCTTGAAATTGACCTATGCTCCTGGTTATACAAAAATAACCAGACCATTGTTCTGTTAATATATGTTCATCTATTGCTCAATAAGGCCAATACCAATACAGCACAAATTTTCAAAGTTAAAAGTTTTGAGTACATTACAGACTCAACGGAAACTGCATTGGTAACACACGCACAAATAACTTATTCATTAGAAAATTTACAATTGTAACTTATGATCAAAATCGAATACGGCCGTGTATACAAAAAAAATACATATACAGTAAAAAGAGTTCAAACATAGAAGTTCCCAGTTACATTAATGACTCAACCAACAATATGTAAAAATTATAACTTCGGATCAAAACGGTATGCAGCCATGTATTGGTCTGTCAATAACTTTTCGTCCACTGATTTATAAGGACAATACTAATAGAGTATAAGGAGTTCAAACAAAGAAGTTCTGGTCTACAGTAACAGAATCATCGCATGAACAGGTACTATTCATCAGGACAATTTCGAGATTGGACTGAATCAAAACACAAGTTGGTGGTTGTTTTCGAACCATCAACTCAAACTGATAAAAATCACTAAAACACCAGTTTAAAAGACCAGGCTAAGTTATTAATATTGCATTATAGTTCAGTTGATCATTAAACTTCTCTTCCTTAACTTACGTGTCAAAAGAGTACGTTACAAGTTAAAAATAACGAAGGAAGTATTAAGTTTATTAAGCTAATAAAAAATCAAGAATAAACTATCACAAAATACTAAATTCCAATGTAATTTAAAACTAAGAAGCAAAAATTTGAATAAAAACCTTGAACCAAAAGAGGTCGTTGAATTGGCCAGAATCAGTTCCAGAAGGAACAACAGCAGCAACTTTAGACGTCAATTGATCAAAAACATGATTCTGCGTTTCAACATCGAAATTATCCAACCTAAGATCCTTAATAGTTAAAGCTCGAATTCCACATTCACCTTCAATTAATCTCTCCCAAGTTGTTCCAACTCCGCAACCAAGAGGCGTTACCATGCCTAACCCTGAACAACATTCAGCCATTGAAATTAATTAACTTGATAACAGCGAAAATGAGGAGAGAGAAAGAGATGAGAATTGGTACCAGTTACGACGACGCGGCGGCGATGCGAGGAAGATGAAGATGTGGTTGTTGTTGTTGAAGAGGAGAGGAGACGGGTAAGGTTGAAGCGAGAAGGTAGTATACGACGCCATTGATGAATCGCCATTGATGGAGTGGAGGTCTGAAAAGGTGAGGTTTTACATTCACCTTAAACCTCTGCTCTATGCTCAAACCATGAGATAGAATTATGTAGTTTAAAATAAGGGTATTTTAGTCATTTTACTAGAGTTGCTCAAATTAGTCGATTCAACTCCTGCGCTTCAATTTCTCAAAAAAAAAAAATAAAAAAAAATCACTCCTACGCTCAACTCCATTGAGGCGTACTCTGTAATCTGTATTTCTCCATCATAGCAGCTTCTAACCTTCTTTGTCCTCCATTGAAACAGGCGATGTTAAGACTTTATTTTTCTTGTTTTTTTCTAAAAAATAAATAAATTATCATTGAATATTGATTTTGAAAAAAAAAAAAAAAAAACAAATTATCATCGAATATCAGTTTCCAAGTCTAGGGTTTAATTTCATACTATCGTTGATGTGATTATCAATTTAGGGTTGCTTAAACGAGCGCTTTTATTGCAATTTAAAAAGATTTTCTAAGCGAAAATAATTTTATGCGTTTTTAGCTAAATTTAATCATTGAGTCAATTTGGTTGTTAATTTGTTCAAGGCTTATGCTTATAATCTCTAATGTTTGAGTTAAAAAAAAAAAAAAAAAAACTTTAATGTTTGGGTTTACAGTATTGTCACAGGGGCGGAGCCAGTGGGTCCATCTTTAAAAAAAAAAAAAAAGAGTAATGGACAGAAAGCCAGAAAGTAGGAAGAACAGAAAACTGAACTCTGAAAAGGGAAACCTAACTTTCCTCTTTCCTCTCTCTTCGAAGTTCGAAAATCCTCTGCCAGTCCGCCGCTCTCGCTCGTCGGCTCCACTCCCGGCACTCCGTCCCTCCGTCCGTCGAGTCGCCGCCGTCGCTGCTTCGTGACACACTGCTTCGTCCATTCGTCGGCTCGTCGCTGGACTCGCTGCTCTCCATTCGACTTCGCTCACTTCGCTAAATCGCTAGACCCAATTCACGGTATTTAAATCTGAATTTAATCTCTGAATTATTAGTTTATTACTTGTTTAATTGTTTTATAGTTTATACTTTTATTCAATTATTCTGGGTATTGAAGATTTGAAGTATTGAACTATTGAAATTTTGAAATGTGTTGGTTTATTGTCTTATTGAAATCTCTGAATATTGAAATCTGTTGGTTAATTGGTTTATTACTTGTTTTTTTCTTCTGTTTTTGTGAATTTATTGAAATAATGAAATGCATAGTTAATTTTGTGAACTTTTGATTGCATTATTTTCTCCTGTTTTTGTGAATTTATTGAAATGTATAGTTGAATTAGAAATTTAGAATTTTAGGTTTTATTATTATGTAATGATGTGGAATTGTGGATTGTGGAAATTGATATATATTTTTCAATTTAATTAGGAAATGTCAAAAGATTCACCTAATTCAAACAAATCCAAGGCAACTAGTAAACAACCCGATCTTCGACAATTCTTGTTTAAAAGACCGAAACTCAATGAAAATGAGTCAAATTTTAATATTAGGTATTAACCAATTTGTGTGTTTGAGTTTTTTTTTTTTTTTTTTTGTTTAGCTTTTTGTCAAGTTAAAGCCTTTTGTCCCCCCAGGTTGAAAATCCTGGCTCCGCCACTCTTTAGTCCCATACCAGATCTTTTTTCTTCTAGTGAAGGATGGCAATTGATTTACTCAAAAAAAAAAAAAAAAATTGATAATTGATCGCTTCTAAACATGAAAAATAGTCGAATTCAATTGCATTTTTCAAATTTATTACTAGTAATTTTGAATTTTGGATTGTGTTATTGGATTCAAATATTGAACATGATGAATATGTTCCTTTTTGTGCTGATATGTAATCTTATACAGAATTGTTAATTCTTCTATTCCTTTATTTTTATCGATAGGTTTACGATGTCAGAGACCATGGATGAGATCAAAATTATTGGAAATAATCATCCTGAAGAAGTCAAATGGCTTTGTTCACTGTCTGAGTCGGAACTTGTAAGCTTGACCTTAATTTATGATCAATAAGCTCATATTCCGCTTATAGTATGTCACGAATTCATGTTTAATTAGGCCAAGTAATATAAATTTTTATCTTGAATAGTTTGCAACAAGCCAACAAGAGCTTTAATGGCAAGGCTGGCGACAACTGTCTTTCTTTGATTTTGTTGATAGGATCAAGCATGATTCTACAAACTGAGAGCATTTGTTACCGCTCATCAGCATAACTGTTGTGGTTCATTACTTAGTCAGAAAACTAATATTTGGTTGATGTTTAGATAGTGGTTTGACATACAAATTTAATTGATGATAATTAGCAGATTCATGTTTCAAAAGTTAAACAGATTAAACCAAATTTTCTATTTTTTTTACGTCCTATGCTGCAGTTTATTTTCTCTCTCTGTAATCTGAAAGCATTGAGATACCCATGTCATAATTTTCTACACTAGCGCTTATTCCATACTCTAAAAGTATAATATTCAATGTGGTGCCACTGGGGTGGAGGGGCTATTGCTGTAGACATTTAGTTCTGCATATTTATTATAGATCTGCAACAATCCGTTGGGTTCAACAATGTAAAGACTGATCTGACTAATATTGTTAGGCTATTGTTTATAATCTAGTTGTGGCTGGAAGCTGGATGATAGCTTATGTGAATCGTTTGCCTCCTTATGTTTATATATATATATATATATATATATATATATATATATATATATATATATATATATATATATATATATATATATATATGAAGTCCATTGATAAAACGCAAGTTAATTAATTTGTTGATGCATAATTTATTGCAAAACTTTATTACTGACTTGATGGTAATAAAACGTTGACAGGACATGCTTATCAGCCTAAAGAAGCTTGCCCTTCAACGAGCTCAAGCCGTAGGGCATGAAAGTCTAGCCCAGAAATTTGATCTGAAAATGCTCCGAGCACTTGGCAAGTTCCTACGTTATTTTTTTTTTTTTTTAACCTTTTTTAATAAAAAAAAATAAAAATAAAAAAAAATAAAAAAAATTAATAGAATGGCATAAGCGTTTGGCATGTTGTTTTATGATGAGTGTTCTATTTTTTGGTCTTATCCCTCCATTTTATTTCTCCTAGAAATCTCATATTCAGTAAAATGCTCACCCATCTGAAACTTTGACTCTGTGCCCATTATTTCTGTTATATTGCCTATCCTGAGTTTTAAATGAGGTATTTGGTCAAATTAAATGAGGTATTTAAAACGCGAGTTTTAAATGTGTAATTATAAAACTTGGCACATTTGAGTTTTAAATGTGGTTATGCACCTTTTGGGTGACAGCTAGGAGTAAGAAATTTGAATGATTTATATGCATTGTTGTGCCTTTTGTCTGCTATGCTTGTTTGAAAGTCAAATGTGCCAAGTTTTATAATTACACAGCTTTCAATGGATGTATTGAACAAAGAAAACTAAAGTCTGCAGATTGGCACAACTGATTTATCTCCTCGTCTGCATGCTTTTGCAGGATTTATATTGATGCAACACATCAAAGGAGAAGTAAATGTGAATTGCAATTGACAGGATTAACTGGGTTGGCAGATTTGGTAAATGGATGTAATCTATTGAAATTGGATTTGGAGAATAGAGTAGAGACGGGAGAGCAAGCAAACACAGGAGAACAATCAGACACTGGAAGTCAAGCAAATGCAAAGACTGGAGGTCAAGCAAAGGCAAGGTATGTTTACCCACTCTTGGGTGCAGGAGGTTGAAGAGCTTACCACTATTCAACCCCTTGTCCTCACTTTTTTCTATCACAATAATAAGAAATAGTAATGGAGGGTGAGGAATCATAATATTGCCCTTGGAACTGTATTACTAATATTGGCCAGTTTGGATGTTATTAACCTTCATGGGTAGAAACTAGTGCTTGCCTCCTTATGATAGATACCAACTTACATTAAAAAAAAATAGAGCATACATATGCTTTTAATTTTATACAATTTGGAGAAAGGTTGTACGTTTATATATCAATCCCAATCCACTCTCCCCAAAAGCTAGGGTAAGGAATTTAAAAAAAAAATTGTAGATTGTCTTCAATGTGCTGATGAAACCCACTTATTACTAAACAATGAACAGAGCAATTTGGTTGGTCAAAATTACTATTCTTACAAACTGTTAATAGCTGAGCAAAAAGCTCTTTACCAAACCGGGCCTTTTGAGTTGTGAATACTTCTCTGCATGTCTGAAACTATGAAGTGAAGCTAATAGGCCGTTTGATCCAGAGGCTAATAAATTATTGGAGGCTTCAAAACTTCTGTCACATCTCTGACTATCACCAAAGGTTTTTAAGTCACTGCATCTTCTCTTTGTCTGCCCCAATAATTGCTTACCTTCCCTGCTAGTGATTATTGAAATCTTAGCTGACATTTTGCCCTGTATGAGATTTTTTTGTCTGTGCTAAAAAAAAAAAGGAAAAAAGAAAAAAAAAAACAAATGTCTAGGTTATGGCTGCATTGAGTTCCAGTATTAATTTCTTAAGGAAATATGAATATCATGTTGAAGAATCCATTAAAGAACATTAAAACCAAAAGATACCCAATATTTTAGCTGCACCTGTCTTTTATGCTGGAAACTGATAAAATCATAGAATTCTCATTATTTCTTCTTTCTAGAGAATGGAGAATGCATTTTGATTTTTTTCTTTCTATTGTTGTTGTAAATATCTGATAAACAAGGTAACTAAGACCGCAAAGAAAAAATGAATTCCAGGGTAGCCGTGTGGACATAAAGTAAAATCTAATCAGAGTGAAGTCTTACGCCGTTCAATTTTTGGCATGTGTAACCTCTTGGTGTTGGTGTATGGTTTTCAATAGTGTTGTCTGCTTTTCTCTATTTAGTGATACAAGTTATTACTATTGTCCTTATTGTTCTATCATTTGCATAACTGGCTTTTTTTGCAGATTCAGGTAAGGTGGGACCTAAGTTAAAAAGAATGAAAACTGATATGAGAACTCTGTAGACCAAGACTAACACAGAGTTAGAAGAGGTTTTTGGTAATTTTCTATTGCTGGATGATTTGATGTTTTAGCTTTGCTACTTGATATAATTATTTCTTCACATATTTTCATGCTCAAGTAGTTGCTAACATAGATGTATTTGTAATTGTTAAGACTTAGGGTACCTTTTACTTCTTGCAACCTTCATTTTCTTGGTGTGCCTTATGTGAATGGTAGGCTCTGGTTGTGGGAAGGGTAGCTGCAGTCTTTTGTTAGAATGTGTTTATCGGTAATATTTCCATGTGGTTTGGAGACCAATAATGTCCTGCTATGTGAAATTTGGTTAGCTCCGGCTGTCGAAGGATCATTGTATCGATCATTTTAGAATGTTTTTGTTGGTAATTTTTCCTTGGGGCCTGTTCACATCCTTGTGTAGTTTTTAGTGTTAGGATACTTTATTATTTATCTTGGATGTGGATTATGATGTTACATGTTTCTCCCTCATGGTCAATGGCTCAATGTCATGTCAGTCTGTCTCCGGCAAAACTAGAATGGAATGGATTGCAAAATTTACAAAAAGATTCACTTTTCATTCTATATCAGGGATCATTTTTTTTATTATTCTGCCATCATTGTTGTTATGCTTACCTTGCCAATTATGATGTCAGTGGTATTATAATGAGAGCCTGATGAAGTATTTAAGAAATGTTCATTGTTGGTGTTTGGTTTCTATACTCTAGGTCCAAATCATAATAAGGCCTTGAAGTTGCAGTAGTAGTAGCCGTTGCGGTAGTGGGGAACTGCATTTCATTAATTAATACACTTGAGGTGCTATTTCTACATTGAGGAAAAAATTGAAGGATTCTAGAAGGATGATCAAGGTCATGATTGTCCTGTTTTCTTTTCAGTCACAAGGTTGTTATTGGTGAGGGATAATCATCTTGGGATTAAAGTTTCATATTCATGCTAATAGGATATCTTCTTTTAGCTTGTTAGCTCATGAAAAAACCATCTTATTTTAGTAGGAAAGACAAGGTTGTCGGTTGAATCTGGTTTTAGTTTGTGGACCTGTCGCCTAAAACGTTTGTGTTCGTGTGTGTGTGTTCAAACACTTTTTGGGAATATATTGTATGAAGTGTTTGGAGCAATTGTAGCATGATATGTTGATTTTTCTAATACAAGTAAATGGAGCATAAGATTCTTGTTGAAAGGCTTGTCGGTGTTCCATAAAGGTTAAAGTATTTAGTAATTGTTAGAAATTGATGTATTTGCTTTAATTTCACCTTTGGTTTGTTCCTATAGATAGGTTATTTAGAATGTTTGCTACTATGTATTAAGTTAAGCAAAAATATATGGTAACATGACTTCTTTTCAGAGCATTTTTAGTGCATGATTTATGTTCTACATTTCCTACGTAATTTACACTTGAACTTTTCGTTCTGCAGGTGGACACAAAAGCTGCACGCCTGCAACCTATCTATTGCGGGTCTGCGGAAGGAGGTTGTATCAGATCAAGGGCTTTGTAGGTTAAGTTGCAACTCATGCAGTGTACAATCTGTTGTACCAAGCAAAGTCCAACCGGTTTTAAAATTTGCTCATTTGACTTGAATGAGCAAATTTTGTACTAAGAGTTAGTGATATAAAAATATAGCTTTGCTCATTTCTATTTAAATGAGTAAAAATAACTTTCTTTTGTTAAGTGAAAAACTTTATGTTGTAATTTGAAACTATTATTGTTGTTGTTGAAATGATATAAAAGCTTAATTTTGTTTTTTTATGGTCTGTAAGTTGAAATAGAGAAAAACAAAAGGAAGATTTTGGACAAATTTGCTCCCAATATCAAAAGCAAACTTCAATTCAGGAACAATAACACAAGTTTCATGGCCACCAACAGATAAACCTTTAACTAAATAACCTTCAATTTCAAACCCTTTTCTGTGAACTTTAGCCTTGGCTTTTCTGTACTCTTCTTCTTCAATTGCTCGCCTAATTGCAGAGGATAGACCAGTACCACCACCAGAACCAGACCCTTTAACTGCTTCAACCCGACCCAAACCCAAACTCAGTTTTGGCTTGTCCCACGCGAGTCCAAATCTGAATTCGATATTTTCAGGTCGGTTTCGGATCGGGTCGGGTGTGCTTTTGACACCTCTAGTTACAACTAACAAATATCCTACATGGGTATGCCAAGAAAATCATAATTAAGCAACTACTTATGAAGTAGACGAGTTTGTTCCTATATCCAATCCTGTTGAGATAGTTTCTTGGAAATAAAATCATCCTCTGAAGGCTTCAATAACAGTCTTTCCATAGCATTTAAGGCATTCCAGTTCTTCTAACCAGATTTTCTTGTATCGCAAATAGGGATTCACCTCGAGCATACGAATAACCTTGCAAAAATCAGGAGCAGATGGAGGGGCTTGGTCGTCAATACTATCACAACGTTTGAGCTCACGCAACTGAGAAGGCCTTAGTCATTTTGGGCATTTGGTGACATTTTCGTGAAACTTGTGGTTATACGATGAATTTGAAAATTTTGATGGGTATGGTGAATTGAGTGATAACTCAGGGGTATTTCATGAAAAAACCGATTCTATAAATTATTGGCTAAATGCTGCAGTATTTCTTTTATTGTTTTCAGTTGCTATGTTTAGTTAGCCTTTCCTGCTTAAGTCATACGGGGGTATACTGTTTTCCATTTCATTGAACTGTTTTCATTTCCTGCTTCTAATGGTCTGGTATTCTAAAAGGTATCGTTAACTCCAATGTGTCTTATATACTTCGATCCCTGACATTCTTATCTACATTTCATTCACTTGAGATAATGTGTGCAGCTAAAGTAATACTACGTATAAATTGTTCAAAATAAAAAGTGAGTAAATTCTTGTAACCTGCAGGTTAAAAGCTTTGTCTACAAAGTACAATTCTTCCCCTTCTGAAGCTTCTCGACCTTTTGATATTGAGCGTGACATAAAAGTGTAAAACTTTAAGAATATCTTTATTCTATTGGTATCTATGTTGCTTCTTAATTGAATTGACTTGTTTTGTCTGCAGAATCGGTGAAGGTTGTGGTGTTGTAGTATTGGAAGTAAGTTGATCAGTTTTGTTATGTCTCTGCATTGCTTAGTTGTTCACTGTGGTTTATTTTTGATATCATGTTATCTTTTATGCTATCACTTAAAGTTGTACGGTTTCTTACATGTAATTGAAACTTAAATTTCCCTCAGTACTTCTCAGTTCCTTTCAGTAACCTAGTCTGAATGTTGCTATTCCTTCATCTAGTACCATCTAAAGCGTATATCCTTGTGCTGAAGGAACTTGAACATGCTAAGGAACGCGGTGCAAAAATTTATGCGGAGCTTTGTGGCTATGGGATGTCAGGTAATTTCTCAAACTAAATCCATTACAAAAATTGTGATCTTTCTATATGAGGTTTCTTGACGTTTTTAGCTTGTAGGTGATGCGTATCACATAACTCAACCTCATAATGATGGAAGAGGTGCCATCCTGGCTATGACAAGTGCTTTAAAACAGGTAAAGTTGCTGTCTGTAAAGGTTTCCTTTCTACATCTTTCTAATTGATGGCATAAGAGATACAGATTGAGAGAGGGAGGTCATGACGCCTGTCATGTGCCTTTTTGTTACCTGTTAAAAACTGAAACTCCACCATTTATGTATGTCAAGCAATCTGAAAGTGCTATTTAGTTTGATAGTATTTGATGGCTTTATGCACAGTGCACATGAACCAATCATGTGTTGGATTTATTCCTCTACTTGAAATGCAGTGTAAAGCTGCAGTGGGCAATATTGTAGTAGTGGTATAAGTAGAGGAAAACATTCTTAAAGTTTCTATTATTTCCAATTCATGTTTTCGATTTAGTGTACAACAATAAATTAGTGCCTTAAATTTATCTTTGATTCATGTCAATGGGTTTGAGCTATTGCCTTCATGTAAAAATAATTGTGAGCTTTGTGGCAATTCAGACTCAAAGACCTTCGTTTTTCATCTTCAAAACCTGGGCCATGAGATTGATAAAATCCTAATTGAGATTTTAATTTCATCAAACTCACACTTCATATAACAGTATACTACTTGCTCATCTTATATTTTCAGTCAGGTCTTCATTCTAACCAAGTGGATTATGTGAATGCTCATGCTACATCAACACCTTTAGGTAAGTTGTTGGATCAGTTCGTAATGAATTAACTCTCTGGCTCTTTGGAGTAGTAGACTAGTAGTGTCTTTGGTCCTGTCATACCTAATTTGCATGTATGCTCAGGTGATGCCATAGAAGCCACTGCACTCAAAGTAGCATTTGGCGAGCATGCAAAGTCTGGTGCTTTAGCATTCTCTTCAACAAAGGTAAACTTGAGAGTAGATCTGTTGAAAATGTTTTCTTGACTTGGTGATTTATTTAAAGATATGTTTCATGCACTCTGAAGTGGATGATACTGCTAATGTTCAGTTGACAGTTCTTGAAAATTACACATGGTCTGCTTTTCGGTATGATATATTTATGCGCTACTGTATGCACAATATCAGGGTGCAATTGGACACCTTTTAGGCGCAGCTGGAGCTGTGGAGGCTATATTCAGTGTCTTGGCTATTCATCATGTAAGTGTTTTCTTTCTATTTGTTGCTATAGTTCTATGTTAACTCTTGATAAAATTCACATGACATTGTGTATTTACTGTTGAATTTAATAAAATGACACTTAATGCCTAGATTTGTGAAATACAACTAAAGAAAAATTGATGAAAATAGAGCACATCTATTGTTGAGGCAGTCTCTACTTATTCTTTAATACAAACTATGTAGAGCTATATTTCTTGATGCATGACGAATTTGGATTCGTTCAATAATTTGCTGCAATACAGTTCTGGCCAAGGCGTCCAAATATCTGTTTCCACTTAACATGTCACTATGAAAAGCCAAACAAGAAACATTTATACTCATTAGAATATGTGTAATGGTTGCATTGTTGCAGGGAGTTGCGCCATTGACTCTCAATCTTTCCCAGCCAGACCTTGTATTTTCTGATGCCTTCATGCCATTGACTGCATCAAAACAAATGAATATTACAGCAGCTATGTCAAATTCATTTGGCTTTGGAGGAACAAATACATCTTTGTTGTTTACCAAAGTGTCTTGAGATTTTGACAATGCTCTTTAAGTTACATTTTTCTTGTTTTGGATTACAACCTCATGTCGGGAGGGGTTAATCTTGTATCGTTTAGAAAATTTTGAAATATGAGATGTAGCTTAAGAACGATACTGGCATGTTGTAATAGTTCACTGTATATTTCAGTTGGTTTATTTTCTTCACTTTATTTTAGTTCAATTTAATTATGGTTCAATTATTATATTAAATGTGATTTAATTCTTAGAATGAATTGATTAAATGTGATTTAATTTGCTCAAAATAGCCATAAAGAGGACCAAAAATTTGCCCTATATTATTCGAAAATTCGAACCCTAACCCTATTACTTTCGAAAATTTCGAACCAAATAAGCCCCAAAAATATGATTTTATGTGCTTTTTTGTTCAATTTCGATTATATATGCTTCATGAATTTAATAGCATTGATCTTATGTATAAATTATGAATTTTACATATTCAATGAATTATTTTAAGTGTTAAATTAATTGGGATTAAATTTCATGAAGAACTCTAATTTTAAAATTGAATAAAGATTTAATTTTAATTGTTGGACTGATTTAATTTAATTTTTACAAAAGTTGTTTAAATTAGATTAAAAACACAAAAAAAAGGGTTTTAAGTGGCCGGCAGCCACGGTGGCTGTCGACCGATGCCAGTCCAAAAGGGAGGGGAAGGAAGGCAAGTGGTCCGGGGCGGATGGGCAGCCTTGTAAGCGTTGCACGCTACTGCCGTGGCTACCACTGCTACTGCTTGCTGCTGCCTTATGGCAGTGGCTGCTGTAAAGCAGCTAGCCACCGTGGCTAGCTTTGGCTAGTCAACCACGGTGGCCAGTAGCCGTGCAGTTCAACCTTTCAAAAAAAAAATTCAAAATAAAATTAGATTTTATTTTGGGATAAAATCAAATTTCAAAAGTTGTTAATTTGATGATTATCCATAATTCCCAAATTGAATCATGAAGACTGAAGACTTGAAGAGGTTTACCTTCATTTAATATGTTTTTAATTAAGCAAGTTTTCATAGTACTGGTGATATTCACAATAATGGTCTTTTAGTATACTTGCAGTGGGTTTGTTTATTTTAATATACCTGAACAGATTTTTCGATGTATGTATCTATCATGAATAGTCAATGTTTTTTTATTGTATCTAAACTATTTTTTTGATGTATCTATAATAAATAGTCGATGTATCCGCAATGAAAACCTAATGTATCTATAATTTTTAGTCAATGTACCTGCAATGTATTTTTGATGTATCCGTTCTTCTCACACTTCTCACCATATAGATATATATATATATATATATATATATATATATATATATATATATATATATATATATATATATATATATATATATTCCTTCATCTATAATATGCCATAAGCCTATAGCCTTTTGCTTCCTCTAATTAAAAAATAAAAAGCCCTATAACTTTGTTGGCCGTATATCATGGTGATTAGTAACAAAGCTAAAAGTTCTTTTTGACATCATCTACATAGTACGTTTATCAGTATGTGGCAAAGGGAATACAATATTTTGTAGTGTTTGATAATTTTCATTTCTATGCTCGTGATGTTATGCGTAGTGGACCATTTTTAAATGTCATCATTCTGAGAAACAAGCGTCTGTTTGGGTTAAGTTGATTACACATTTGATCAATAATGTTCAAAATTTAATTGATGAAAGATTTATAAAGTTAATAACAGTTCGTAATTTGTATTATGATGTGTCAAATGATTTAGATGGAAACTCTTGTGGCTACGACATTAAGGACTAAATGATTTGTACAAGTCATGGAGTTGTAGCTTTACTTAATTCTATGATAATAGGTAATGTGCTTTCTTGAAATTCTATTCTTTATTGATACTAAATACGTATCAAATAGATTGAGCATCTTCAAATTTGAATAAGCTATAATGGGTTGAACGATTAAATCATAATTCATGAATGCCAGAATGAATGATTCATACTTATACGTTTTGAAGATTTCAAAACCACAAGATAAAGGCGGATTTAAGTATAAAAACATAAATAAAAAAAATAAAAAAAAAAAAAAACCTTGTTATAAACATTTAAAAGATCAAGAAATAATGATTTATTTTAACACTAATATTTAAGTTTAGAATAACCTATCTATACACATAAGTATATGTGTCAACTATGAATAATATAATATACATGTATTTTCACGTAATTTGTTAATTTGTTCCGTGTCCACACAATAGAAAAAAAAAGGCAAAATTACAACCATTAACGCCAACTTTGAGGGGTGTAATAATTTTTGACACCAACTCGTACCACTAGTTAGATTGACTCCAACTTTGATTAAAAAAACATAAATAACATTAATGATGCTTGAGTGGGGTCTACTTGCTACAAATTTATCATTTACTGTATTAAAATCTTTTTTAGTAATTTGAAATAGATTATTAAATCAGTAACTAAGTTTAATGTGTTGATTATTGTTTAAAACAAAAGCCCCAAATTAAAATAACAATACCCCAATTTTTTTTCCCTCTTCTCCTTTCTTCAGCCATTTTCTTTGCTTGGGTTGCTCCTATCCCTATTTCAACCTACAAAGACATAATTCAACACAAAATTGAAACAAAATCAAACCTAACAACACATAATAATCCATTCAAACAAAACATAATTCTTAAATTAAAAAAAAAATAAAAAAAAAAAAAGAAAGTAAATGGTCGTAAACTTAGTACGCTAGATTCACAATTCCACTTAAAATAACCGAACTTTCATCAATGTTTAATGAATTAAAAATTGTAAACTAAAAAGACAAAACTCAATCCTTAAAGCTTACCAGTAAAGTGCTACAAGCAGAGCCTAATTATCAGCTTCAAAAAAAATTGTTTGTCTTCCAAATTTGGTAAAAATAGCACACTAATTTACAATAATCTACTATTGACTTCAAATCTCTACCAAAAGCTGATGATGAAGGATTGGAAAAATGAGCAATGAAGAGGAAACAGAAGAAGAATCAACAAAGAAGATAACTGACTGAAGAAAAGAGGGGAGAGAAAAAATTGGGGTTTTGTTATTTTAATTTGGGGCTATTTTTTTTATTTTAAAAAAAACAATAATTAACTCATGAAACTTTACTGTTTTAATAATCTGTTTTAAAATACTAAAAACGATTATAATATTGTAAATGATAAATTTCTAGCAAGTGACCCCCACTCAGGTATCATTAATGTTATTTAAGTTTTTCTTTTAATTAAAATTGGTGTCAATCTAATTAGTTATATAAGTTGGTGTCAATAATTGTAACACCCCCTAAATTTGGTGTCAATGATTGTAATTTTGCCTAAAAAATGTTAGGGTTTTTTTAAGCTATACTCCTAAGGTAGTCGAGTTTCTAAGGTGTACCCATGGTTTTTCAAGTTTCTAAGCCGCGCCCTTCAACTGCTTATCAATACTAAAATGTACCCTTATTAGTTGTTTAAAAGTTAATTGAGAGTGATTTAGTGGCTTCAGTTTTCGTTATTAGGGTTGCGGTGGCTAAGATTTCTTTCTCCTATCATTTCCTTACCTTTTATTATCTTTTTATTAAATTTATAGTTAATTTTAGGTGACGTGGAAGTCCCAAAGAGGGTACCATTTATTAATGGTAGTGAGTTGAGGGGCACAACTTAGAAATTTGAAAAAACATGGGTACACATTAGAAACTTGATTACCTTAGGGGCATAGCTTAGAAAAACCCAAAATGTTAATTTCGTTATTGTTTCGGCCGAGGAGAATAGAAATTTTGCATTGGAGCCTACAATAATGGCGTGGAAATAATCGAGTATTAGCAAAGCTTGGGTGGGTTTTAGCAAACTAGAGCAAAAATGAGAACATTCAAGGAATTAGATAACTGATTAACAAACATTCGACAATCTATACTTGGCTCCTCACTCTAATAATAACAACGCATGAAATTAATCAGTAAACCAATATGAAATCAACTCATCCAAAATTGTCAATTTTTCTACAACCAAATTAAATTTCAGTGGACATGTAATGGTTCTAACATTTACTACATTAATGAAATATATCGACAAAATATTAGATTGATGAAACAAACTAACATCAATCTATATACATAAAACAAAGTCCATATTTGTACGAGTAACAACAATAATGTTTGTAAAGTTTGATTTTGAATGAAACATAAACTACCACAGATTATTGGTTACAGCCGCAATAACTACACAGCTGATCAACATAAACCCTAACTATTGAGTAAGTTGATTTTTCATCCAAATTGATGTCATTTGACACAGCATATAATACAAAAATACAAATTGTAAACAATCACTTGGGTGCTTTTAAAAGTTGTTGACTACATGTAACCTAATATAGTAAGCATAGAAATGAAAAGTGTTCATCCTACAAAATATTTATCACATACGGGAAAATGTACTGTGTAGATTATGTCCATAAGCTTTTTTTTTTTACCATATCACTATAACCAAAGTCAAAAGCAGTACATTTTCAACAGTATTTTATTATTAGGTTTCTTTATCTAAAAATGGGCTCTGCTTATCTCACCACTAAACCTTGTTTTTATCCCACCGTCAACCCTCCAATCCTCACAACGTGTCACTTCTTGTCGATAGTTGGCATCCCCATCCATTTTCTACACCGTCGCCGATGAGTCTCCATCCCTTACAGCTTAGTATTTTTGTTCTCCATTTTCTTTCGTTTTGTTTTTTGGCATGCTCAAGCTAAGGGATCGGTGCTATTGGGTTTCTCCCTAGTGTGGCTATAGGTAGCGTAAATCTACAACCTAGAGTTGTTATAGTGTCTTTCAATGCAACCTAGCGTTGATATCTATTGAGGTAAATGTTATTTTTTACCAACAAGTCAAATATCTATCTTGATTTAGGATAATAAAGGGGCTACCACTATAATTACTTGTTATATTCTGATAACCTCGCTAACATAACACAACAAACAAGTAAAGAAGTTATCCTTGAAGAAGTTAGACAAGAGTTGAATTACTATTGTCTATTAAAAAAGTCTAAGTTTAATTTTATTTTAATGTAATTTATGATACGACCTTATTTGTTAAGGTTTGTTACGTGTTAAGTTTTATTAAAATAAATTAATTTTAAATATGTTATGTCATTCGTATGATTAGAATTCATCCACTTATCTTTATTAACTCATGCAAGACATTATATAGTTTAGTACGAGCTTGTCCTAGTTTAAACATAGGAGTGTTGATATCACCCCATATATATGATTGTCATGGATTAGCTGGCCCCAAAAAATTAATGCTCAAATATTATTATCGTCAAGTTACGTAGTTAAACGTTGCAAGCTTTTGTCCTCTATTGAAGATGCCCAAGGTTTCTTCCACTATTAAAGATGCCCAAGCTTTTTGTCTACCGTTGAAGATGCTCAACTATGTCCACCGCCACCATTTTATGGCGGAAAAATAAACGAAAACCCTAAGAATAAATAGTGAAACATATGACACAATTCAAGTAACCCCAAAAGGTAGGGATTTGTTGTCATCTTTGATTTTTTAACCATTTCTCCGTTAATTGTTTCAATTTTGAGTGATGAAGGAAGTGAAAATGGCAGTTTCTTTGACGAAGTTAACAATGCAGTAGTAGTATATACTCCCCCCGTTTTTTAGCGTCTAACTTCCAAAAAACAATCGTTTTTTTTAAGTGCTCCATTATTAAATTTAGAAACCCTACTTACATTATATATTATTTCTCTCTTTCTTTTGACCCCACTATCATTTTATAATATTTCTCTCTCTTACTTTTCAATTTTTATTTCTAACCAACCAACTTTATATATCGTTGTTCTTTTTTGCCTAAAACCCAGCTAAGAATGGCAATGGAGCGGGTCGGATGTGGAGGATGGTACCTACATACCCATACCCGCCTAAAAATCTTATACCCATCCCCGCCCCACTACCCGTGACCGCCCCTCCGGGTACAAGATAAAATCCATCCCCGCCCTACTACCCACTTGGATATCCATACCCATCTCATACCTGCCCCAAAACCATCCCAAACCCACTGTCATGATACTATATTGTATCACATTAGTGACAATTATATCAAATTAGGTTAAAAAAATTTAGAAATCTTACTATTTGGGCGGATTGGGCCTTAGGAGATATTAAGTTTCATAAATTCTAAACTCTTCTAAAGGAAATATGGGGTGGGCATAAGGCGGGTATGGGGCGAGGCGGGTCTACTCTAAAATCCATACCCGCCCCATCATTCATTGCGGGTACACATTTTGTACTCATCATCCTCACCCCATCACCGGCCAAACCTTCCTAGTGGGGCGGGGATAGGGCGGGGCTCCCATGCATTTAACCCGACCCATTGCCATTCCTAGCCCAGCACACACCCTAATGAGACATTTAAAAAAAAACAGAGGGATTGTCTAGTAAGTATTACGATTGTTGGTAGTAGATTTACTCCACTACCCTTGCTAAACAAGGGTAGAAAGATCATTATGCCTTTTTTTTTTTACAAGAAGAAGAAAGATTTCATTAATGAAAAATAACCGACGGCACTTACAAACAATTCTTTGGAGATCTAAAATTTCAACATAAGTACAAATCACCTTAGAACTAGTTACATCGCAGATTCGATCAACGATCGCCTTAATAAAAAACTTCATCCGAAGCAAAACAATATGTGAGTTAGCACTAATTCGGCTTGAGATCCACGGATGAATAGTTTATTGGGTGAAAAAACTCATATGGCCTTCTTGATACTTCCGAAGATTATGAAACCCTAAATCTTTAATCTTTGGCAGACGAACAAACGAAAAAATTAAACCTAATAGGATAAACACCATCATAAAGATGGGATCCATTTATTGAAAGCAATAAAAAAGTTTTTTGGGGCTTACCACCGATAAAAACACTGGTGGAAGCCCCTACAAAAATTTACAATTGAGATCAGAAGAAAAGAGATAAAAGAAAAAGAGAAAAAAAGGAGAAAAGTGAAGGAAAACCTTAGAAAAGTAGATAAAATCTAGCAATGGAGGCTAGAAAAACTCTCTCAAAGGAGAAACGCTGAAGGGAACCAAAAAACCCTCTCAAGGAGAAAACCTAGAGGGAAAAGGAATGAATTGCTAGTAACAAGATCATTATGCACTTATATAAACAAAAGTTGTTAATATAGGATATAAACTTATATTTCCTTGTTTAGTACATAATAAACTACAGATAATAAATATTTAAATATTAAATTGAAAAGGAAATTTTGTCAGAAAAAATCATTTAAAATAACTTTTTTGTTTAGAAAAATCTTATAAAAGAATTTTTGGCAACTAAAAACCTGATTGAAATTTTTTTTTGCTCAAGACAACCAAGGGTTAATCTTTTCCGGCGTTGATTCCTTGTGCAGGTCACGTGAGCTTTTATTTTTACTAATCCCACCCCTTTTCTTCTAATTTCCCTTTTTCTCACTCTTGTTTTAAATCTTCTTATTTCTCATCAGATTATTCTCTCTCAATTGAATATAAATCAAGGAAGGTAATTTGATTTAATTGCAATTTTTGTTTTTTCAATTGATTTTGACAAAGTATACTATTCAATTGTTGTGTAATTTGTGGCCAGTTCATCAAATTGGAGGAATTTAAAAATTAGGGTGGGTGACCCTATTTAATTCGTAACGTTCGATGCCGCCATTGTTGGAATTAGAGCTTTTATTCCCTAGCTATAAGTTTTGATTTTGGTTTTTTGTTAATTTTTTAGGGATTTTGAAATTTGGAAAAAGTAGGAGTTCTGGATTGGAGAAATTGGAGGAAGAAAGTGAACATGGTGGCAGCCATATAACCGCATCACACGCTGTTGAGGTCTTAAGGGGGTTGTTTTGGGGTGGGGGAAAGGGAGGGGTGGCTGATTCGTGGTGGTTAGCTGGGTTAGAGTGGTCGCAGGGTACAAGGGTAAGGAAGAGGGGTTAGCCGCTGGTAGAGGTGGGTCGTTGGGGTAGGGAGTTCTGGGTGGCCGGCGGTAGGATGGGGAGGGGATGGCTGGTGGTAAAGGTGGTAGTTTATTAATTTATAAATGAATTTAATTGCTAACTAATTAAGTGAGATTAAGGGAAATTAGAAGGAAATTAGAAGAAATGGGATGGAAGTAGAAAAAAAATCACGTGTAGGGCACATGGGGGGTCAATGTTGGAAGTGGTATAGTCAATGTCGGAAAGTGATCCTCGGTTGTTT